GGGACTTGAACTCTTGGCCTGGGTGCTGTCCCTCAGCTCTTCAGCTCAAGGCGAGCGCTCTACCACTTGAGCTACAGCGCCACTTCTGGTTTTCTGGTGGCTTTTATTGGAGATAGGAGTCTCACGGTCTCTCCTGCCTGGGCTGGCTTTGAACTGTGATCCTCAGATCTCAGTCTCCTAAGTAGCTAGGATTACAGGTATGAGCCACCAGCGCCCGGCTCCCCATATTTTAAAATCACTTCTGTTATTTGTTTTTTTTCTCTGCCAGTCCTAGAGCTTGAACTCATGGCCTGGGCACTGTTCCTGAGCTTTTTTGTTCAAGGCTAGTGCTCTACCACACAGCTCTACTCTTAGCCTTTTTGGTGCTTGATTGAAGATAAGGGTCTCATGGACTTTCCTGCCAGGCCTGGGTTTGAACCATGATCTTCAGATCTCAGCCTCCTGAGTAGCTAGGATTACAGAGGTTAGCCACCAACTCCCAGCTATTTATCCCTCTTTTTACTCAGGTTTTCTCTGTCTTGTTCAGTATGGCTAGGAACTGGGCCCAAACTAAAATGCAGATTTACTTTTGCCAATTCATATCCACTTCTCAGAGGAGACAGATTCCCAGAATTCTCTGTCATGTTGTAGCCCAGGGATGTGGCTTTTTTATATCGTAGCTAAGGAAACCTTTATTTTGTGTGTCTGTGACAAGTTTCTGGATATCAGCCACAATAATGCCATTATTTTCTAGGCGGAAGACAGGCAGAGGGAGGAACAGCTCGTCTCATTTGACAGGTAAAGAATATTTTACTTAATCTACTGGATAGTTGATGGAAGACTGTATCTGTCTGGTTGGTTGAGTGATTGATTGATTGATACCCAGTAGTGGGTATAATGCTGGGGCTTGCTTGCTCTGGTTATTGCTCTACCACTTGAACCACCACACCTCTAGTCTGACTTTATGCTGGTTAATTAGAGATACATTCTCACAGAGTTTTCTTTTTTCTTTATTTGCCAGCCATGGGACTTGAACTCAGGGCCTAAGCACTGTCTTGAGCACTTTCACTCAAGACTAGCCCTCTACCACTTTGAGCCACAGCACCACTTCTGGCTTTTTTTGTTTATGTGGTACTGAAGAATTGAACCTAGGGCTTCATGCACACTAGGCAAGCACTATACCACTAAGCCACATTCCCAGCCCCTCTCACAAGACTTTTCTACTCAAGCTGGCTTTGAGCCACAATCTCTTAGTTTCCCTATTCCTAAGTAGCTAGTATTACATGGGTGAGCCACAGTATCCAGCTTTATATTGATTTATTGTGTTTAAAAAAAAATCAAAAGCTGGGTGCCAGTGCCTCATACCTGTAATCCTAGCTACTCAGGAGGTTGAGATCTGAGGATCATGATTCAAAGCCAGCCCTGGCAGCAAAGTCTGTGAGGTTTGTATCTCCAGTTACCCACCAGAAAACCAGAAGTGGTGCTGTGGCTCCAAGTGGTAGAGCACTAGCCTTGAGCAAACAAGCTTAGGGACAGTGCCCAGGCCCTGAGTTTAAGCCCCATGACTGGAAAAATAAAATCAATCATTAGATAATAAAGAGGACAAAATAAAGGAGAACCTGGGATAGGTAGTTTATTATTATTAAAATAAAATTAAAAAGTTATAGCCATAGCTGGACACCAGGAGCTCATACCTATAATTAAGTCATGAGACTCATCTCCATTTAACCACCAAAAAGCCAGAAGTAGAGCTATGGCTCAAGTGGTAGAGGACCAGCCCTGAGAGAAAAAGTACAGAAATGGCACCTTGAATCTGAGTTCAAGCTCAAGGATTGGTGTGTGCGAGCCCGCACGCGCGCGCGCACACACACACACACACACAGCTTTTTTAAGATCTTTCAACCATGAAAGGATTTAAAAAAAATTTTTTTTTTTGGTCAGTCTTGGGGCTTAAACTCTGGGCCTGGGCACTTGTCCCTCAGCTCTTCAGCTCAAGGCTAGTGCTCTACCATTTGAACCACAGCGCCACTTCCGGCTTTTTTCTTTTTGCTTATGTGGTGCTGAGGATTCGAACCCAGGGCCTCCGGCATGCAAGACATGCGCTCTACCACTGAGCCACCTTCCCAGCCCCGCCTTTGTTTTTTTTTAAGATGTGAACACAGCAAACTAAGCAAAGTAGTTGCTGAGTCCTCAAACATTTTAAACATCACTTTAAAAATAACCTAAACCTGCTGAGAGCTGGATGCCAGTGGTTCAGACCTGTAATCCTAGCTACTCAGGAGGTTAGATCTGAGGATTGCTGTTTAAAAAGCCAGCCTGGGCACAAAAGTCCTCATGAGACTCCTATCTCCAGTAATCACTCAAACACCAGAAATGGAACTGTGCTCAAAGTGATAGAGCACTAGACTTGAGCAAAAGCACTCAGAGATAGTGCCTAGGTCCAGATTTCAAGCCCCATGACCAGGAAAAAAAAAAAAAATCCTGCTGAAGCCAGGCACCGGTGGCTCACACCTGTAATCCTAGCTACTCAGGAGGCTGAGATCTGAAGATCACGGTTCAAAGCCAGCCTGGGCAAGAAAGTCTGTGAGACTCTTATCTCCAATTAACCACTAGAAATCCGGAAGTGACGCTGTGGCTTGAGTGGTAGAGCACTCACCTTGAGCTGAAGAGCTGAGGGACAGCGCCTAAGCCCAGACTTCAAGCCTCACGACCAGAAAAAAAAAAAAAAAATCCTGCTGAGTGCTGGTGGCTCATTCCTCTAATGCTAGCTACTCAGGAGGCTAAGATCGTGGTTTGGTTCAAAGCCAGCCTGGGCAGACAAATTCAAGCGACTCATCTCCATTTAACTAGCAAAAAGCCAGAAGTAGAGGCATAACTCAAGTGGTAGAGTACCAGCCATGAGTGAAAAAGCTAAGTATTAAGTTCCAGAATACACATACACACCAACTTGTAAAAAAAAATAATAATTGTGGGTTTTTTGTTTGTTTGTTTGTTGGTCATGGGGCCTGAACTCTTAAGCCTGGGCACTGACCCTGAGCTCTTCAGTTCAAGACTAGTGCTCTACCACTTGAACCACAGCGCCACTTCCGGCTTTTTCTGCTTATATGGTGCTGAGGAATCAAACCCAGGGCCTCATGCACGCAAAGCAAGCACTCTACCCCTGAGCCACCTTTCCTAGCCCCAATAATTATGTCTTTAAGAGAAACTGAGCTCAATATAAATGAATATGGTGTTAGCATTTTAGCAAAAGACTATATAGGTCCAGTCTGAGTCCAAAGGTATCTACTTTTAGCTTCTTCAGGGAACAAATATTCCACATGGGAATTCCTTTAGAGATTACAAGGTAAATGATATTGAGTTCTCAGACTTGTCAGAATGTATCTGACTTGTTCTGTACTATTAACAAAGGCCTTGAGCTAGCAAAGGACAAATTTACTAATTTAAGGAAGAGCCTCTTTTCTAATAATTTTCCTACTAAGAAATCTTTAAGGAGCCAGTGGCTCTTGCCTGTAATCCTTGCTACTCAGGAGGCTGAGATCTGAGGATCACGGTTTAAAGCCAGCCCGGGCAGGAAAGTCCATGAGACTCTTATCTCCAATGAACCGCCAGAAAATCAGAAGTGGTACTGTGGCTCAAGTGATAGAATGCTCACCTTGAGCTGAAGAGTTCAGGGACAGTGCACAGGCCCAGAGTTCAAGCCCCACGACTGACCAAAATTTAAAAAAAACAAAAAACTTTAAGGAATATAACTTGCTTTTAATGAGAGTTAAACCCAAATGATTCTGGGTAAATACAATATCTCTCCCTTAATTTCCTTAGCGTCAGCAGAAGCTTCAGAAGGAACGTCTCATGAATGACTTCTCTACGGCCTTGAACAACTTCCAGGCTGTGCAGAGAAGGGTATCTGAAAAGGAAAAAGAGAGTATTGCCAGAGCAAGAGCTGGATCGCGACTTTCTGTAAGTTGAATCCCTAAAGAAGACCTTTGAAATTTCAGAATGTTTGTTTCCAGGTTGTTTTCTTCCAGACCATTAGCTTTGTTTATTACCACACCAAATAGTAAATATACTTGTCAGCTGCTGTGAAAAATGTCAGATTGTTTTATCCCATGTAAAGAAACATGTATGCATATGGGCGACTAAAAGGAATGTGCACAAGAGTTAAAAAAATGCGGGACTGGGAAGGTAGCTCAGTGGTAGAGTGCTTGCCTTGCATGCATGAGGCCCTC